CTCTAAATGACAACCTAGAAACTGGACCAAATCTCAATTGTGATCCCGTGCACACGCTGATGAGCTTCCGACACCATTCCATTGCAATGACAGCTGATATTGAGAAGGCATTCTTACAGATTTCAGAACTTAAGAAAGACAGAGATGCGCTGTGTTTTTTTGTTTGTTTGGTGGGATAGATTTCCGAGCGGAAGCGATGCGAATATCATACCATGAAGAATGTCAACAGTGACGTTTAGAACTGCCCCCAGCACTTTCTTGCTCACAGCAACAACGCAGCACCACGTCACCAAGTTGGAGGAGCAATTTCCGCAGAAATAAACAGCTGAGGAGAAACATTTACGTAGACGACATAATAATGAGAGCCGAATCACCCAAAGAAGCCGAAAAACTTTACTGGCAATCAAAAAAAGATTTTGCAGGAAGCGTCAATGACTCTCAGACAGTTCAACACAAATGAACCTGGATTACAACCCAACATAAAGAAAGAGGCAAATGCAAGCTTCGAGGCTTCCACCGAAATGAAGATGCTTGGCATCAGATGGAATTTCAAGGAAGATAGGCTGTACCTACTATCGTTTGACATAAAAGACATTAATACCAGCGGTGCGCTAATGAAGCGCCATATGTTACAGCTCACTGCAAGAGCATACAATCCTCTGGGACTCTTTACTTCATTCAAGGTAACAGCCAAGCGAGCAATACAAAACATGTGAAGAAAAGGGATGTCTTGGGACGACTCACTGCCAGATGATGAAACGAAGACTTGGAGGAATATAATTAAAGAGCTGGAATTGATTCAAGAGTTCAGTGTACCCCGAAGGTTTGATGTAAAACAAAGAAAGAACCTATTCACATGGAACTTTGCTTGTTTTCAGATGCAAGTTCATGCAAGTTCAGATGCAACAATAGCGTCAATGAAGCAAATCTTCTTACCACGGCTTGAGCTGATAGCTGCGTTGCTGCCTGCACGCATTTCTGAATACATCAGAAGCGGCTTTGTAATGAATATAAATGCTACAAGGTACTGGACGGACTCGACAATTATTCTTAGCTGGCTACAAAGAAAGAAAAACGAGACACATTTGTAGAGAATAGGGTCAAGGAGATAAAAGAGAAAACGAAGCTATCAGAGTGGAAATACATGGCAAGTAAGAGAACCCAGCTGATCTCATGACCAAAAGTGTAAGCGCAAAGACTTTGATACCGTCGGACCTATGGTGGGATGGTCCAAAGTGACTTGTTACGGAAAACAAGACCACAGGGCACACGTAAACGGAAGAAGACACTGAGAGTAGTGATTGTTAGGCAACTAACACATACACGCCAATTCCGGTCGTGATAGACGCAGAGAAGTATGGAACATACATAAGATTGTTCAGAGTAACCGTCTAGGTTCTGAGATACATACAGATTATAAGAAAGATGCGGATAATTGGCGATCTGAGTTTTGAGGAACCAAAGAATGCAGAGACGGTGATAATAAAATTGGAGCAACGAAAGATGTGAGAACATCGAAAGATGCGAGTAAGTTCCGCGGATCACTCTAGCTTACTGTCCAAGAAGTTAAAGAACTCTAGGAAGAGTAATGCAGTTGCTCTGCTCTTGCTGTACTCTCTGAATTTCTGTGAGTGTTCTTATAGGAGATTCTACTGATTAACTTGGTTCATATCAAGACTACGCAAACCGACATTAAATAAATAACTGGAGGAAAATTCATCTAGTTATATTGAATAATTTTACCTTGCATCACCCATTTCAGTTGAAAAAGTGGCAGCATATGCACGGGGTGAATGATGGAGAGTGGGGCGAAGTATCTCTCCGCCCATTCGTTCTTGCTTCCGTCCGTCCATGCGTCCGTCTGTGTGGCCGTCCGTGCTTCCATCCGCCTGACCGTGCGTGCGTCTGTTCGTGCGTCCACACGTCCATCCATGCGTCCATCCCTGCATTCGTCCATGCATCCGCCCCTGCGTCCCTCCATGCATCCATCCGTCCATTCAGCCATGCGTGCCTTCATCCATGCATCCGTCTGCGTGTCCATTCGTCCATCTAGTCAACACTCCAAGTACCACCATCTCGCATCTTTCCATCATATATGCTGCATAAAGGAGCACCGCCATCAAGTGGACATTTCAAGGACTAAGCGAGAGGTGGCACTCGCACACTTTCTTATGGCTTGCGCTTCCTGTCTACTTCCCACCTTTAACCACCTCGAGCTTGTGGTAAATACTAGTTCACTGTATTCATGGCACTGCGCCCCAATGCTCGCGAAACCTTTCTAAAACCAAGGAGGTTACGCCCTGCTAGTATAACGTTGCAACCCATTCTTGTAAGATAGTGCTCAATGTACACGCCAATGGCTGCTAATGGGGAATGTGAGACAGGAGAATTCGGCTTTTAGGTAACGCGCACGCTGCGAATTTTTTATTGTTCAACATTGCGCAGGAGAAATCTCCCACTGGCACCACATTGGAGGTCAAAGTGCAAGACGTGTTACGTAACACGATGAGGAACGAACGGGTGCCGTTTTAAGTAGCTTCGCCCCTAAGAGGCTAAAAATGCGTTTCAAAACCTAAAGCAAAATACACCTTTCGGCTAAGTTCACTTTTTCTATATAAAAACAAAAGCGAAGGTCATGAAAAAGTCAATCGTATCGGAGGGCTCCGTATTTCGTGCCACTTCGGGTTCTCTAAGGTTCACTTAGACACGATTGATTGATTGATATGTGGGGTTTAACGTCTCAAAACCACTATATGATTATGAGAGACGCCGTAGTGGAGGACTCCGGAAATTTAGACCACCTGGGGTTCTTTAACGTGCACCCAAATCTGAGCACACGGGCCTACAACATTTACGCCTCCATCAGAAATGCAGCCGCCGCAGCCGGGATTCGAACCCGCGCCCTGCGGGTCAGCAGCCGAGTACCTTAGCCACTAGACCACCGCGGCGGGGCCACTTAGACACGAACAGTCCGCCGTCATTTTAAATGAAGCTCCGGCGGCCAAGATGACAGAAAATCTTCTCCCTTCGAATTATACCGGCAAGCCAGGTAGGTACTAGATATTATCATCTCCCTGCTCTGAATTTATTGACTGGTAGTCTGTTTTCTTCTGTGCGCGTGTGAAACATGATAGTGTACAAACGCGAAGGAGAGAATGATGGTATGCAATGCTGATACATCTTCAGTGGCGTCGTGGAACGTCGACTTACAGACGCTAATCAGCCAAGTAAGTTGATGCAATAATGACAAGTTTGGAGCACTTGCATGGATGTTGAAAATTTCAGATTAATCAAGTTTGTCTTGCCCTTGCTCTGTGTGTGAGAGAGAGGTCTCTGCCATCCGCGATGCTTTTGTGCGAGACCAAATAATTATATAGTCACATGATGTCAAAGCCTTGTACTTGAATAAATAAAAATAAGCAGTCATGTTTCAGGCTTCAATATCATTACCATTTAAGTGAAATAAATTTTACGCCTGATAGATTCACCCGCAGTCTTGGTGTATGTTTTTTAGTGATTGTGGTTCATCTCACGGGAACGGAGAGGAGTTCTGTTATGTTAGCTTCAAGAGATTTCATTTTTCTAGATTTATTGTGGCTTGTAGCAAGGTACTCAGAATTTTTGTAGGTGTCTCGCTCTATGTGATTATCAAGTTATTCGATTGCTTTACTGCACCAATAGTGACACCATTGCTATACGGCATTGGATCACAGCCCTAACGTTAGGGGCGTCCAGCAGCTTGATAGCTAATATCTGAAAAACAACGCCCACATGTTAGACAGCAACAAGTACAAGCATCCGTACTCTGTAAATCATTTTATTAAAGAGGTGCTTTTGCAGCAAGACCTGAGAAATTGCACTTTTTTGTCAGATAATCGAAAGTTTTTCATGAAGGTACATTTGACAATACGTGTGACCATACATATTGCCGCAAAATGACTGCGAGAGATGTCAACTGGTGCAATGCTATTGGACAATGAAGGCCGTGCTAGTGCACAAATTCCACTATGCGCTTACTTTAGTAGTAAACTTTATGAAAATTATTTATGCTTTCAAAAGGAACAATTTTTATATCGATTATTTTTCTGTCTCAAGTAATTTCACTGCATTCGCAATGTTCACGCATTTTCACTTTTGGCGAATTTGTGTATAGACATACTAATTCGAGCACACACAGAGAGGGAATAAGGTCGAGTGAAATACAGCGAGCCCTTAGGATAGTGGTTAAAAAATGCCGCCGTGGTAGTTCAAGGGCCATAGCAGACCCCACTAAAGACAAAGAAATTGTTTGTCTCAAACCTAGCTTTTCTTGTCCACTTCACTTTGTTTTCAGTATGGTAATATAATTCCCGTAAACAATATGTGTCTACGTTAATGCTAAGTTCAGTATAGTCAACAGTAGAGTCCCCGGTAATAAATTTGTTTGTTGCAGCAATGCGAAGGAACGTTGCAACACCCTTCATTTCTTATGATGACCAATTGGTGCTATTTCAATATTAGTAGATGATCGGTGATCATGTAGGTCACAGGTATCACCATACAATCTATTGAGATCACCACGACATTCACCAATATACATAGTGGGACACAATAGGCATTGTTTCCTTTCTAAGTATAAAATTTTATTGCTCATTATGACTACCATTTCATAATTTGTATACTCGCGACAAAGATGCTCAGCAAACGCATAGTACTCTGCGTGCATTTAAAATTACTTTTCATTGTTTTGGTCTCGATCAAAGCGAATTAGACTCATATATTTCAAAATTAGTGTAAAATATTTGAGCACAACGAGAGTAATATTAATAATATTATCTGGGGCTGAACGCCTCAAAACAACCATAAGATCATGAGAGACGTCGTAGTGCAGGACTGTGGAAATTTCGATGACCAAGAGTTCTTTAACGTGCACTTGAACCTGAGCAGGCGGGCCTCAAACAAGCAGTGCGATAGTCACTACGCGGGGACGGAATTTCTAATGCTATTTCCCACTCACACACCTTCGTCTTAAGACGCGAGCCGGCGCCGAAGTAGTCGAGTCCTTTATGAACTTCCATTGCATGCATTACAAGCACAGGGTAGTAGACGGTAGGCGGTTCGCGGAAACCCTGGTAGTCACGGTACACAAATAAACCGAAGCTCGGCATTTCATCTAAAAACAGCGTTGCGTACCCACGCTTCTTGTATATGCTCCACAGATGTGGCAGCTTGTCGATGGTCAAGTTGCGAAAGAGCCCTTCCACGTCATCACCTGCAAGTCCCGTGAGCAGCGGAATCTGGTTGCCGAAGGAGCTCTCACCCACCTATGATAAACAGGCCACTGGTGAATGTAACAAATCTGGCGTGTATTGACAGGCGAGATGGAAATTGTAGTCAAAACTGCATGCACCAGACAAGATATGTAGCTTCTTACTCAACATCATCTCCAGTTGGCCGGAAAACGCTTACTGGGGAAAAACAAAAATTTCAGCGAGGCCAGTAACAATAGGTTGGTGCATTAAACGACGGTAATTTTATGTTAAGCTTAACATTGCTGCAATGCGAGCCCTCCATCAAGAGCCAGTGGGAGAGCAAGGGTGACTGAATACGTTAGAGTTAGCAGCAATCAGCAGAACCAGTATTGCTTTAGAAGTCGTGGCAGCGGTGAGGGCGCGCGCAGTCGAAGCAAAGCATGCTTGTCGACAAGCGGACCCTCAAGTGAGAGCCCGCGAAGCACAGGTGGTACGCAAGCGGAGGCAAGAGAACCTCGAATCAGAGCGGGCGCGGGGAGCAGCGATCAAGGGTTGAAACCTGTCGTTACCCGTCGTTGATGGCGTATTTCTCGATCGCTCGTTCGGGCACAGCTGTAAGGTATATGACCGCTTGTGATCTGACAACAACCCTACCACCTTCGTCTCCATCCGCAATGGCCAGTCTCACAGCAACGCTACCATCGTGCCTTCGAGACGCTACCATCGAGACTTTCCGGTCTCTGCCCGTCATTAGCACCGCCAACAAAATACATTGAGTAGCGTGTTTGCTCAACGTGCGAAGACTTTTGTGCCAGTAGAGGTTCTGACCATATGATACCTTCTTGGCTCTTTAGGCCATACCACCTGCCCGTACTCAACTCAGTCGAAGAACGCCTAATAGCTCCACAACTACCCTTCATGAACATCAGGCTTTGGACTCCGGGTGGCAGCCAGAGCAGCATTAAGGGGCAAGTAGTCAACGTGCTGATGAACGTGCCCAAGATCGTGAGAGACGCCATAGCGGAGGGCTCCGGAAATTTCGACCACCTGGGATTCTTTGACGTGCTCGCAAATCTGAGCACATGGGCCTACAGCATTGCTACCTCCATCTAAAATGCAGCCACTGCAGTGGGGATTAAATCCCACGACCTGTGGGTCAGCAGCCGAGTACCTTAGCCACTAGAGCACCGTGGTGGGGTGAACGAACTTTAATAAAAGTTATTCCGGTTCTTCAATGATAACTATCCAGGGCGACCACTTCTTGCATTCAGTAGTAAATCTTGGGAAGCCAAATAATTTGTCACATCATATATTGCATAACGACACTTTACATTATGGTAGGGGCTATAGTATACGCCGCCATGCGCTGATGCATTTCACATGAAGTGCAGAAGTAAGCACGGACGCATCTTCGAATAACACAAGTGGGCATGCATAACAAATGATGTTTGTTAGGTGTTTGCTTGAGGCAATGTAGCACATATAGGTTCATCTAGTTCATTAATTGAATTCAAAAACCTGAACGGGCTGACATCAAACTAGAGGCTGCATTAAAATGAAATTGTACACAATACAAATGTCGTGCATACTTGCCTTTACCACATAATTATTACCACATAAGTGTGGTAATAGAGCTACTAAATACCTTAAAATCATCAAGAAAAAATATCACAACTACCAATACAGTATTTAATTCATAACGAATCAAGTATTCGGTTACAAAGATTGTCATCTTTTTCACCTTTCGCCATCTTGCCCTGCACTTTTCAGAATTCCAGAGATAAGATTTCCGATTACGGAAAAACTACTATACTTACGCTTTTGCAGGCGTATTTGGGATATAGCTCCGACACATCTTTCAATTGCCGTGTTACATTCTGTCGCAATCGGCAGCGAAACTTCGTGTTCTTTTTTGGGACCGCAGGACCGAAACGGTTAATAATGAAGTGCTTGTGCACACGACTCTAGTGACTTTTGGTTTCAAGATATTCATACGTGAAATCTGTCAGGGAAATATGGTTTAAAGTGGCCGTAAGTTATGAGCTAATTTATTGACAAGCGTAATGCAATCAGTTAAGTAAGACTAGTTCTGCGACCAAGAACTTGCTAAGTCTATGCTAAGTCGGTTCCTAAGTCAATGCTAAGAAGAGAAGGGGAAACACTGTGGCTTTTTCGCAGCTAGCTTATCAGACATTGGCAATGAATACTCTTGACCCAGTACCTTATTGTAGCCGAGGAACTCAAAAGCGAAGAGCTCCTCGGTTAGGAGCTTGCGCGTCCGTTTCATGTGGCAGTCAAAGTTAAGCCGTGACGTCGAGTCTATTCCCAGAACGAGGACATTCACGGGTCGTTCGCCTCGAATTCGGCGCTTTCTTGTCACCACCTTCTTTTTCTGTGCAATGAAAAAGTAATCGATAAACAGAGTCTCAGCACCCACCACGCAGGTCACGGCAAGAAACTCTTTGGTCAAAGTGGTTCCAAAGACCAATCCTCTAGGTGGTCCTAGAGAGTAGCCCCAACATGTCTGACACCGAAGCTCTGATTCCTCATTACCTCGTGGTAGGTACAAACCACATCCTTCGCAGCGGCGCTGCCGTAGTAGCTCACCAGGTGACTCGTGTTAAGGTAGAGGACGCTGCCGCGGCGATAGATAACGGTGGCTCGGCGGCCCGGACAGCGCCAGTCAAGGCTGGTGTCGGTCTCGTTTGCCCGCCGAATTGTACGGTGGAACGAAGGGTAGAGCAGCATAGTGCAGCCGGGCGTGTCGAGGAGAAGGCCTATAGGTTGTATCCAGTTCAGATAGGCTCGGATCAATTTTACCTCGAAGTATAGGAAGACACAGACGCACGTTGGACAGACAATCACGATGACTTTTCATGTTTGCCTCGAAGGATCTATAATGTAGGACATAGCGCGCATCTTGAGCACCCTGAGCCCTGCACTTTTGCCTGTGTCGTAGAAGAGTTATTCTTAATGACCAATAATGGCCCATGCCCACTACAAAGCATTCAACACTCCTTGTTTTAAATTAACCAACGGCTGGGTGCACCAGTTTTGCTCATGTTTACCTCTTGCGGTGTTTTTTATTTCACTTGCGCATGTCTGTTTTTACACGTGAATATGAAGCAGCATGTGAAGCGAATATGAACTAGTGCAAATCTGTTACTGATATTTATTCTTTTCGTTGTTTATTAAGATTACTGGATTTTCTTAAGATTTATGACGTATTCTCACAATGATCAATTTACCCATCGTCGTCATTATCTGCCTGACTACGTCCACTACTGTACGAAGGCCTTTCCCGTGATGCGCCAATCAACCCGGTCTTGTGCTTTCTTCTGCCCCGTTATACCTGCGAACTTTTTTATCCCATCGGCTCGCCTAACTTTCTGTCTGCGCTTCGTGTAGTTGCCGTCTCTGGGAATCCAGTCAGTTACCCTAGATGACCAAATGTTATACTGCCTACGTGCTACACACCCAGTCCATGTCCATTTATTCTTCTTGATTTCAACTATGGCTCTCGACCACAGCTTGCCATCGACACAGGTTTTGCTAATCCGGTTCGGCAAAAGTTTTAGCGGGTGTCATCATCTGAGCGGAAAGTTATAGCTGAACAAGTTCAGGACATGTTGCAGAAGGGCGTTATTGAAGAGTGCAGCCCGTGCGCAGCACCTGTGATTTTGGTTCGCAAGAAAGACGGTTCCTGGAGGTTTTGCGTTGATTATAGACGATTGAATGCCTTGACTAAAAAGCATGTATATCCGCTGCCTTGGATCGACGACGTAATTGACTGTCTACATTCTGCTTCATACTTTTCTTCACTCGGTCTACGATCAGGATATTGGCAGATCCCCATAAACCCACACTGTGACCGAACAAGAATGCTTGGCAGCCGTATTTGCTATTCAGAAGTTTTTTTGTCACCTGTATGGGCGTCCTTTCACGATTGTAACAGACCATCATTCCCTATGCTGGCTCGTTACTCTCCGATACCCTTCTGAACGCCTTACACGCTGGGCTCTACGCCTCCAGGAATTCGACTTTATTGTTGCATACAAATATGAACGGCGTCATACGGACGCCGATTGTCTTTCTCGCCTTCCATTGTCTACGACTCACGACAATACAGACACGTTCGACGTTTGCTTTGCAACTGTTTCACGAGCATTTCCTGATGTCACCATGTTCTAGCGAGAGCAGCGCAATGACTTGACTTTAGACACTTAAATTTATTCGCCACTGTCAGAAGCCCCAGGGCAGTGGTCACTTTTATCTTTGCAATGGACTGTTGTACAAGGTGAATTTCTCGGCAAATATTGCGCGGTATTTGCTAGTGGTTCCCCAAAGCTTGCGGTACGATGTCCTCTATTTCATGCATAATTACCCGACGTCTGGCCATCTTGGACTCATCCGCACTTTGCATCGAACTTAAGAGCGCTTCTACTGGCCTAAACTGCAACAATTTACGAAGCAATACGTCTCCTGTTACGACAAATGCCAGCGCCACAAACGTCCTACAAGCAGTCCACATGACCCGGCTCATACCGTATCAATATCCTTAACCACGGCTAGTTCCCTGACCCACTCAGCTCTGTTCGTTTCTCTTAAGGTTACACCAATCATTTTTCTTTCAGTCGCTCATTACGTCGTCTTCAATTTAGGCTGAGCCCTGTTTGTAAGCCTCCAGATTTCGGCTCTGCAGGTATCAGCAAGGTACAGCTATTATTTAGCTTCCTTTTGAGGGTTAGTAGCAGACTACCATTCATGATTTGAAAATGTTCGCTGATTATGATCCAACCCATTTTTATTCATTACTTATAAATTGAATTTTATATAGAACAATAAAAGTAATTTCAAGTGAATATGAAAATACTTATATTGTTCGAAAATACTCAAGAGTGTTTTCACTCAAGCTCATGTGTTTAATTGTTCCTATTGTTTGTTAGATTCATGCAAGCTATACTGTAATTGAACCAATCGAGTGTTAATGTTTATGTGCCACTTACAGGGCCTGAATAGAGAAAGTGTTTTCTTTGTGTTATCAACCCTTGCGTTTGACTTGATCTTTGGACATCTAACAGCGTTCGTGAGTTCACTAATAGGACTACCCTTAAATTGCCCGTGCTTTCGTGATGTGTGTTGGGGAGCCGATAAATCAGACCTTAGATCATGCTGGGCGATTGATAAATTAACGGGGTTTATGACAGATAGCTACATTTCAACTAACGTGCTACTGTAATTTGATCACTGTCCAAGAACGTTGATGTGCATAGGATTACACATTTAAAAATTATCACCCAAGCAAGCAGTACCAGCGAAGCATAAACATGTGGCCACAGGCTGTTGCATACATCGGAGCCGAAGCCAAAGGGCCACTCGAGAAACTCCTGCCGGAAACGGAAGTCGGCCCCAGCAAATGCATTTCCGCCATTCTCTTGTTAACGCTGCTGTGTCTGCAACGCCACTGCCACGGCTTGCCGTTGTCGCTTGTGTTCTGCTCGCAATGGTGCCGGATTATTGTAGCGCAGATTCTGATTCTGCTGTGCCACCGGGGCCTGTTCTTATGCTGGGACTGCGGCATTGGCCCGGAGAACAAGAATTCTCCCAGGGAGGAGCTGTAGGCACTGTCCCCATGGAAATGTGTCTGCTGTTCGGGCGTTTGTACGATCCGTGCCCTCGACATGTAGGAGTTGTAACTTCAACCTTCCCTAGACACCAAACTATCCACGTGCCCTTCGTGTTTTTTTCACGTTACGCGATGTTTCTTTCTGCCCTTCTTTGAGTGTTGGCTTGATTAACGGCTTTTTGGTAGGAACGCGATCAGCAGATCTGTGGGCAGGGTGTGGCATAATATGACTGTATGAAGAACACATTTCAGTAGAAAGACATGAAAACCATGACAAGTACGTCATGAATATTATGATTTACATTTCATGGTTCTGCAACTCTAGTGGTGGTTTCGTTCACATGGCATGTTGTTAAACTGGTATGGTTATGGCATAATTGCATGGCGAACACAAGCGACAGACCCTAACATGAAAATCATGACATGCATGTCATGTAACATGTCTACATGTCACGCTCATGATGCGCTCGTGGACGTTTCGCTAGCGCCACGTATACTAAATTTGGTATTACAGTACGTGAATGGATGACGAAGGTGTGTGACTGGTGCAAACATGATAATCATGAGATGCGTGTCATGCAACCTGACTACACGCCATGCTCATGATGCGCTGGCGGCTGTTTTGCTCGCTTCACTTATACCAAAATTGGTATTATGGGACGTGAATAGATGATGAAGGTATGATACTGGTGCAAACATGATAAATATGGTATGCGTATCGTGCAACAACATGACTACATTCTACGCTCAAGATGCGCTCACGGCCATTTCGCTAGCTTAACATGTACGAAACTCGGTATTACGCGACGCGAACGGACGACATAAATAAAGGATACATCCAAACATGATAATCACGACATGCGTGTCATGTAACAACATGACTACTAAAATCCACACTGATGCACTGGTGACCATTTCGCTAGCTTCACATATGCCAAATTTCGTATTACGTGACGCCTATGGATTAAGAAGGTGTGTCACTTGTGCAAACATGATAATCATGAGATGCGAGTCATGTGAGAACAAGATTACATGCCACAGTCAAGGCTGGTGCGAGTGCTCGCCGCCGTTTATTTCGTCGCGTCACGCCAGCGTAGTCACGTCAGGCACATGCCTGCCATATACTCGCAGGCGCGCGCCGCGCTGAGCTGCTTTGACGCATGCGCGTTTCAGCGCGTCCGGTGTTTCTCCGTCACGAAAAGAGGCGGACGCAATGTTGTCTGGGCAAAGCATCGGCGCGAAATGCAGCATGTCGCATTTTGCGCTGGCTGCAGTCGATCCGCGCCTACGGACGCTGGTCGCGCCTGGCGTCAGATCTACAGAGTGCTCGCGCTTTGCTAATTAGCGTCAGTGTGCCAAGCGTGCGCACGCGTAAACGCTACATTGGAGTATATTGGGCCCTTCACGATGCGCTTGCGGCCGTTTCGCTAGCTCCACATATACCAAATCTGGTGCTACGCGACGTCAATGAGTTGCGAAATATAGGACGGGTGCAAACATGATAATCCTGACACGCGTGTCATGTAAGAACATGACAACATACCACGCCCATAGCGTGCTCGTGGTCGTTTCACATATACTAAATTTGGCATCACGTAACGGAAACAGATGACGAAGATAAACGACACATCAAAACATGGTAATCATTACACGGAAGTCATGTATGGCACATTTACGTCCACCTCCTTACGTTGTACGGATTTTAAAGTGACATATCGACACTTATCAATCGTGCTTCACATATCATCGATTCCCACTGTACGTGGGATCTGTCAATTTTTTAGGCGTTTTTCGAAGGCATGCCATGTTCGGCCTTGTGGACAAACTGCGATAAAATACCGCTTATGCTTAGAGGTTTGCCTCGCGTTTGTCAACAAGCTGCCGATTCTATGCACGTCTCTCTATTCCCCGATGAGGAAAAGGCAACACCACAATCTATGAAGCGATGGGTGGCCCCTGGGCCAGGCAATTTTCCATTTGAATTTTACTTGTTATTTTGGAACGAGCTTGGTTCTGCCTTAACCGTGGTTATCCGGCGATGCTTCGAGGATAGTGTCTTTCCATCATGTTTTCGAGATGGCCGCATTGTACTAATTACAAAAGCTGACGCTTCCTCTATTAG